GTTTTGAGAATGAAAATTATTAAAATACCCTTAACCTTAAAACTTAGAATCCATGATATATAAGGGTATTTTTGTCTACTAAAATCCGGTACACATTGCTAAAATGTACCAACTGAAAAACAGGCATACGCGCGTTAGCAAACCCCTTATATATATATATATATATATATACACACACACACACACGATTATTTTATCATTAGAGTTTATTAAAATAGAAATTAGTTAAATAGAGTTTATTCGTATAAATATCATTATCTTTATACAAACAGAATTTCTCTCAAATTTACTTTCTCTCTACTTTGAAGATCGAAAAGCATGGTAGGACTTTTAATGTTGAGACTTACCTTTCTATTCGATTAAATTGTTGAATAGAGTAAGTTTTTCTTTTTCTCCCTTTAGAGTCATTTGGGTTTTGATATGCATGTAGTGTGAATTAGATTTCACGTGAGGTTTGGGGTCATTGATGAAACTCCATTCAATTAGGATTATTAGTATGATTGAATCCTTGATATGCATCTTCTTTGTGCAGATTTTGCTTATCTCAATTATTAGGAGCGTTTAGAGTCAATGACCTTGGTAGTGTTTTATAACAAGTAAGGGAAGTTATAAGTTATTTAAACATTTGTTGTGTCTTGATATATAAATGTGATAAAATTATGATTTGAATTGAATTTGTTATATAATGTGAATTGGTTGATTGAAACCTTGCATGTTGTGTTTGGCTAAATTGATCGTGTTATTCGAGTTATGAATGCATGAATTGTTGGTTGGTCACAATGATTGGTAAATTGGACATGATTGATTTCAATTGATGTATTTGACAAGTTAGGATTTGTTGTGATTTCTGAAAAGTAAAAAAAAAAACACCATTTGAAACCTAAAAGAGTATGTATATTTGTCACTCATTTGAACTACCGTGTAACCTTGATGTGTGATATTTTTAATTGGTTGGTTTAAGAATGTGAATTCGTATGGTGTTGAACTGATATTTTGATTAAATTTGAATTGTGTGATTGAGGGTTTGGTATTGTAAGTGTTTTGGGGATTGGCAAGTTTAGTTCAATTAATATCGTATAATTCATTTTTGACTTGGTAACTTTGGTTTTTATCTATGAGAATGGAGAAAAAATTCCTTTAAAGCTTAGGAAATAGATTCATTAGTTTGTCATGAGTTATGTGTTATGCAAACCAGTTGGGTGAACCACCCTCTCGTTAGGTGAGTGCCAAAATTGAGTTTGGTAGAGAAACAAGGAAGGTTTTCTCGTTGGGTGATCTTACCTATAGCTAGATGAGCTTATGTTCCCTATTCTTAGCCATTTCGAGAAAAAAGATATTTCTATTTCATTAACCGTTGAATCAAATTGAAATTTTGACAATTGATCACAGACATATGTATCTTTACTTTGATCGTTGAGATCTTTGATTAGAAGTTTGTGGATAGATCATAGACATATGTTATTCTTTGCCTAATTTCTTACAATTGTGCTTACTATCTTAGTAATGTTTTTTACGAATAAGATGTATATATGTAAATTAATGTTTGTAATGTTTAATGTTGAATGAGTTATTAGACATATGCATATATATAAATATATATATATATATATATATATATATATATATATATGAAAGAATGTTCGTGGTGGTTAATGTTAAATGAGATGAAAATGAGTGGTAATGAGATGGTGAATGTAGAATAGCTTTCAATGGTGAAAGCAATTCATTCTTGTGTTAGGCGTAATGAGTAAGGGCTCATAATGAGATTATCCTGATTATGATAAGTATTTCAACTCACATAAAATATAAAATATTTAGTCATGAGAGTGGATAAAGGTTCCTATAACAAGGAATTGGTTCGAATGTAAATTTTTTTCAACGAACACAGATGAACTAACCAAGTCATATAGAATTTAGGTTGATAAAACTATAATTTTATAAGTCAAAATGTTATATCGATATCCTTGTGACAAAGTATATCTTTATGTCATATTCTATGCACAAACCCTCTAAATGTAATTATCATGATTTTGCTTATATAACGTAGATGATTGAATGAAGTTTTGTTTTGTGAATGATGGCTTGTTTGAATTATTTTAAAGTGTTTATAATTCTTTTCCTTTCTAAATGCACAAACTTACTCTTGTTTTTTGTGTTTATAATGATATATTCGCCTACAGTAATAGCATGTTATACTTTATTAGAGGATAGCACTAGTTAAAGGTTTGAGAAGTAATGAAAAACGTGTCAAATAGAATATAGATCAAACATAAGGTTATATTTCTGTATTTTATACATTTTTTTTGGAAAAAACAAAACAAAAATTATATATTATAAAAAATGTATCATTTAGATTTATGGAGGACTACAATAACATTGTATTTTTAGGCTTTATACTTTCAAGTTAGTAGTGTAAATCTATTAAATTTCAAGATCTTTTATATTATTATCGCAAGTGCAAGTGATTATGGGGAGAGTTTCCAAATTAACACTTTCAACAATATTTCCATCAAACAAACACATTTTGCATCGTAGAATCCGATAGGCTGATTCACTTACTCTAAAATCTTCCCACGTTACCGTATGAAGATAAGCTGTAGAGAAAAAAAAAACTGACTGTGAAAGAGCATATCATCAACCTTACTTCTGACGAGATATTTATATATTTGTAGTTAGGGCTATTTTTTACAATAACAATAATCTGATTTTTTTTCTAAGATTTATTTTAATCTCTCGTGTATATTTATACTTTTCTATTTAGAACTCTAGAATTACGATAAGAAAATTAAAAAATTTCTAAAATTTATGTTAGTCTCTAAAATCTTCGATACTACTTTATCAAAATACAAAGCAAAAAAAATGTTTATCTTTCACTAATAATCTTATTTATTAGCATTTTAAACAAAACATTTTGTCATGGTAATTAGATATAATAATCTATTATAATAAAACGTATGAACTTGAACACAATTTAAATGACAAGTAAACCAAAAATAATTCACATGCTAGTTTGAAGTAGTAGTAGACTCGATCGTTCTAAGTAAGGATCTCGGATTCAAAACTTGTGGATGAAAAAATTGTTAGGAAACAGATTATAAGTCGGTGATACTCTAAACCAATAACATGGTTACCCAAAAATGCAAATGACTAAAATACTAAATTTCTAAAATATACTGATACAATTTTAAGAATTAAAAACATTTCAATATAAATAAAATCATCATGTCATATACAGATCACCACATATAAAATTAAATCATGTCTATAATATTATTTCAACTGTCGAACCTTAACGCATTCAGGGTTTCATAATCTATTTATAATCCACCTTGGATACTAGTTTCTTTTTTTTTCTAGAAAACAGGAAGACCTATGATTCAATATATATATTATATATATACAGCAGCACGCGATGTTAGGAAATTTCCAATGCCGAATAAAACCAACTGGGCATCATCTATTTACCGAGAGGGAGGGTGAGTAGGTAGAGCCACGGCAGAGAATCAATCGAAAGCTATAGGCAAGAAATTTTCATCATCTAAAAGCATGTCAATATCAATCAAATCCTCCACACCATCAACTGCCTCTTCAGAATTCATCGAATTCAAATTATCTCCCTGGTAGATATAAAAACGAAGTATAAAATTAAACCTAATATTATTCATGAGTTTATACGTAGGACAAGACAAGCTAGTAGATAATACCTTGGTTTGACGGAAGTCCTCAACTACATTTAGCACCCGCCGGTATTGAGCCCGTGCCTCTGGATACTGAACCATGGACTTCACCCGTGAAAGGGCCTTTTGGAACCTTGCTTCACTTTGTTTCCTTCCTTCCTTGAGAAAATCATAATCATCCTCTTTCGGAGACTCTATTGGTTGGTCAGGGATGACCTTGTTCACAGCATCTGATCGAAATCCACGTAAACCACTGCCCTTGCGCCTCCAGCGTAATATGACCTTTTCCAGGATTCCCACGGACCATATGATTGTTCTATACTGCTTTCTGACCTGGTGACCTCTTACATGGGCCTTCAACAAAATGGAATTCAAGTCAGTTGAAGAATGTATCAATGTAAAAGGGCACACAACAAAAAACACAGAAAAAAAAAAAAAGAGTTCTATGGGTGCTCAATCTCCATGCTTCTTCAGCAACCAGATTGCAAATACTTTAGGAAGACGAGATAGAAGATATCAACAACAAATGAAGGAAAGGATAACATGATTTCTCAAATCTGGTTTCCTTACAACAAGAAAAAAAAATGTCAAACATAGATATCACATAGGGTGTCAATATTGGTAATGGTTTCCTTACAACATGTTTGACATTTTTTTTTCTAAATCCAGTTAGAAACAAAATTCACTTCAAACTCTAGTTGACTCTGAAGTAACGAGTTTTTTTTCTTCAACTTAATTTACAAACAACATACACAATACTGTCAAACTTTCACCTAAATTGTACAATAGTTGATAGGATGTTCAATATGGTAAATTGAACAGCCATAATATTAAAAAGTAAATTAAAAAAATAGTTTCTACACTTTACATTATTTCATTTTAGTCCCTACATTCATAAATTCTACAGTTTTGCTCCTATTTGAAAATAACAATATGGATTTGATCCTGCCATTGGACAACGTCACAACCGTATGAGATTTAGTTCCTTTCTACTTAACACAATAACACCGTTTTTCCACTTTAATCATAAGTAAAAAATTTATATTTTACTTTGGTCTCAACATTTACATTTAGTTCCTACAACCAACACAACAGTCCCTCTCTACTTAAAAGAGTTTTCATTTTTGTCATAAGTGGAAATTTTATACATAATTTTGGTATCAATTGTCACATTTTGGTTCCTACTATATGCCTGTTAGTTTTGATCCCATATGGAAAAAATAATCTAACACAGTTTGGACCGTATTAAACTATAGGGACTAATTTGTAATCAACTGTTCATGCTGGGGGGAAAATGTACAGTTTTTTCATGTAGAAACTAAAATAGAAACAAAGCGACTAGTTTAAGTTACTAAAAATAGGAAGACAGGAATAAAAGAGAGCAGAACAGTGAACCTGGATTTTAACAATTCTTTGACGAATGATCAAGAATTCTTTTCTCTTCTTCCAACCCCGAAACTTTTTCTGTATTTGTATTGCAGCAGCACTGGCTAAACCCTCTCCTTGTCCAGATTTGCTCATCCTAGAAGCTAAAAAGGAAAGAGTTTGTTGATCTGACAATCCAAATTCATCATCATGATCAGGCTTAGCTAACTGTTTCCTCTGAAATGACTGCATTCTGTATACTTGATGTATTCGATCAGCAGCTTGTGTAGCATTTCGGACAGCATTGAGAGAATCCTTAAGGCAGATAACATCTGGTATATCCCCATAAAGCACAGGTGTCGCAGTTCGCTCTGAAACTGTTTGGACTGCTTTCATTCCTGAAGTTTCTTTCCTACCATCTTTATTTTCCTCCATTGTGAGTAATTCAAGATGGCTAGTTAATAATGACTCTGCAAGAAAACCAGAAATTCCTTTGTGGCCATTGCTAGAAGCAAGATCTGAAGCTGTTCTACCTTCAGGAAATTCTGGACATGGATCTGTCACTGCTGCAGTGGCTGCACCCATGGACACAAGGACTGCAACTGTTCGCTCCCTGAGCAGATAGACAGATAATAACATGAGGATCATATTCATATTATGCTGAGTGAAGATAATGGATCTGACGACACTTTTGAAAAAGGGTACTCTAGTTTTGAAAGTATGACAGCATATATCTTTCAAACTTTCCTTTAACTGACCAAAGCAATTGTGCCAAAACAATTTTCAACAACTTCACATGTATAAACAATCCACCAAAATTGGGACCAAAAGAGAATAAATATTAGTAATGAAAAAAAAAACAGATTTCTAAAAAATTTAGGAAAGGAGCTAAAATATTCACATCGCCTAATGGTTTCATATTCAATCAAATCCCAAATTCTGGATAGTTGGAAATGGTCAGGGTAACAAAAGAGGCTTTAACCCAGATAAGGTAGTTGTAACATAAACAAAATCAAAATTCAACAATTAAAAATAAAAGTCTTACCGGCCACAGTATGCAGCCCAATGTAGAGCTGTCCATCCACTCACATCACGGAAGTTGATATTTACTCCAGCAGTTATGATTGGTTTTATGGCCCAATCGTAACCAAGAGCAGCAACTAAATGTAACACGCCCTGCCCTTCCTCACTTAATACAAGAGGCCCTTTACCAGTTTCAGTTACTTTGTGAAGAAGCCAAGAGTACAACATCTCTTTAACCTGCTTGTGAAACATATGCTCCTTCAACTTGTGTTTTGTTGCATCAATCTCCACAGTTGTCTCTTCTCTACTTGAATATTCTTCTTCCTCTTTCAGTGAAATAAGCTTGAAAATTAAGTTTCTTTTCTCCATATCATCCTCAAGCACTTGATTTGAAGTGTGCACTGAATTTAAAGAAAGTAACCCAACCAGTCGCAAATGAAGGACCATTTCAGTTGAACTGGTAAAAAGATCTGTAAAATCTATATTTCTGTCGAAACCTTCCCTGTACTCGAATTCCCGAACTTCACTACAGGCAAACCTATTGGAACACGTTACATAGAAGGGAACCCGTCCAATCTTATGAGGTGGAGCTTGACAGCATAGAATTCCATTTGCTAAAACCTCAGCAGGAACTTCTACTTCCCCAAACATACAGGACCAGTTACATGCTGTCACCATAGGTTGACTCTTCAAAAATGTTCCAACAATCAACACCTGTACGGTTTTGAATAGTATGAGTCCAATTAAAGCCAGTCTCATCATTTTTTGTGGCAGAACCCATAGCAAATTATTAAACCATTAGTTGTGTACAAAACTCAATAGCAGATAGAGAATATTAACCGGGTGCATGATGAAATACAAGAAACATTATGTAACAAAGAAATAGACACAAATTGGAAATATCCAAATAAATAAGGAACAAAACTATAAGCATCTGACCTGAAAAAGAGAAGTCAACATGAGAGGCAAAATATGAAAAGATAATAATCTAAAGTAAATTAAGTGCAGTGCCATACATATTTAATTAATTATTCCCACCACGCACAAGAAAAACATAGAAAAATCATAAATTTCTGCTAAACTATATATATTATAATTCTGTGAGTCTCAATCAAAGTACCTCAATTTCTGATTCAGCATAAGCCCATTTAGGTGAAAAATCATTTATGCTAAATAGCTGGTCTTGAGAAAGGGACAGGTTTAATGATGTATCATCTATCACATCCCCACAATCATCTGTGTTCCATGAAATACCAGGGGAGGACTGCGTATGCAGATCATCCACACCAGCAAATTCTTTAGTAATCCACCTAGAGAAACTATCAACCTTCTTTAAGCTCTCCTCTCCATCCAATAATCCACGCTTCATGGTCAAGGTATAATTAATACTTGCTTCACCAGCCACTTCATAATCAGAATTGGATTTTGTTGCAGGTTGAGACTGTGTATTTGTATATTGCTTTGAGATGTTTTGGTTCACAGACTTCTCTTTTAACTCACCATTAAAAGTGAACATCTCAGCAAGAATTTCTGAGCCTGCTACATCCCCCAGTAAACTAGTGCCATAATCAGATCCAAATTCCAAACCTAATGTTTGGGTAAGGCTCCACTTAGGTAATTCTCCTGTATCGTCCCCAAAAGGAATCTGAATAAACAATTAAAATAACAAAATGAAAATAGTTATACATCATTGCTAAATCTCAGAAACTGGTGCAGATTGAAGATTTTGATGAGAGAAATACAACTAAATGTTAAAAAAAAGTAATTAAAAGGGATAGATTAGTACAAGCATCAACTAAAACAAAGTTTGTAAGAAAAATGTGATAAACACTGTTTTCTAGCATTTCTACAAGTTCAGAAACAATTCAGAACATTCAATGATAAACTGGTAGATCAGTAACAAGAAGTTATGAAAACACTCCCTCCCACTTCATCATTCTAGGCATTGTAACTTACTAAAGCACATGGTTAAATGACAAACTCCCAAGAAAGAAACTGTATTTTCCCCGGTCACTTTTTCCAAAATCTATCTTCTTGAATCTCTTAATATTCTTTTGATAAATAGCAACAACTACCACCAATCCCCACCCTCCCTAGCTTCACTGTCCTCTAGATATTCTTCCCTTTTCAAAAATAAAACAATAGATGAACCATATAGCCCATGAAAAAATCATGTCCATTAGAAACCACATAGAATAATAGAACTTTAAGAATCAAAGTAATGTTTCAAGCATAGTAGTCAACTGCACTGCTCGACCATAATTGCTATAGCTTTGATTTCTGGAACCAGACAGAAAATTCAATCCAGTACAACAAGATAGCACAACTGCTCCGAATGGAACCTCAAATAAAACTCATATTTGTGCTGAGAAATCAGGTGTATGGATATACAACAAAGTACACTACAAGAAAATATAGCCAGAAGTAACAGTATGTACCTGCCAATTTGAGTGGAGAGCCTGAGAGACCCTTTCCTCTTCGATGAGGACATTTTTATGCCCTAAAAGGTTGCCTGGAACAGCATTGTTTTCTTCAAGGATGTTTCCTGATGCACTTGGTGGAATGGATGTAGATGATACAAGAGAAGGAGCAGTATGCTTTCCTGAAGACTGCTCCATGGCATTGTCCCATGATGCAATGTCGTGTGCTCTATGACCCTGAATAAGTGGGATATATTCTGATCCAGGAACTGGAAACTGTCCACGATCACCTGAAAACATTTCAAAACAAACCACAAAAATTCAAACAAATCCCAGAAAAAGATGATAAATTTAGACTTTATTTAAGACAATAAATAAGTTAGAATATACCAAAAAATTTCAATATCTAGATTGTATCTTAATTTAAGACTAATTTCCATATTTCCTTACAATTTGCTTCCTTGTAGAGATTAGTATTCTGCTTTTTATATTATTTCAGAACAAATGTAAAACATCATATCATATAGAGTCATAGTATCAGTGTACTCAGTCTCCCGAATTTATTTTCTTCTCTCTATACATAAAACGCTTTGAACAAAATAAAAGTTACAAAATGATCATCTGAAGCAAATAAGAAGAAAAGGAAGATAAGATAACCTGAAGATGGATGCATAAGATATGAATTATTTGAACGAGCATCAATCTTATCGATAGGGCAATCATTTCCCAAACATTTTGATTCCTGATAGGATTGTGATCCTGAACTGGCTTGATGAATATCCTCTAGGAAGAAGTTTGATTAAACCATTTAGACCAAACGGACCAAGCACTTGTGCAAATATATGGCGTAACAGTAAACCAATGTAAAGTCTTGGCATGTTAATTAAAAGAATTAAGTGTAACAACCATAACATAACTGACAGGTTTACCTGAATCGGCATCTTCACATAAAGACGTCAGAGTGCTGGTTGGGCTCATGGAATCTGTACTTCCAGAAGGCACACTACCATAATTTCTAGGAAAGCCAGATGACAAAGAACTTCCCTTCTGGGAATCTGATGTGGCCTCACCAGAATATGTTTTTCCACCAACATTAGTTTTGTTAACCTGACAAACCCACAAAACACGTATTAATAAATCATTAAGGATAAAAAAGTGAGTCAATATTAGATTGAAAAGTTTTCTGTCAGATTTATACAATATTATAGAAATAGAGTTCGGGATCTTTTCAAAAGGATTATGCAACTTCCTCAGTATTAACAATAGGGATTTCTAATGGTTAAAAATCAATTTCTTCTAATGGTAGAAAGAGAAAAACATAAAGTTTAGCAGTGGAAGAGTAAATACTGAATGTTAGTATGTTACCATTTTGTAGATATCGTAAAGCTTAAATATAGCTACCCAGGCTAATAATTGCTGAAGAAGCACGTTCTCTAATGCATGACGGCAAAAACTTAAGAAGGAAATCAGATTGAAGATAGATTTTTTGTTCACATTATATACAAAATTTAAGGGAAGAAAAATAGTACTTGTACAGTAGTACCCTGGTACTATTTTCCTCCGTCAAGTCTAGAGTGAAGTCCAAATGATAAGAAACTCAGAACAGACTATGCTTGAGCTACTAGATGTCATACATACTCCGGTCAAAACTTCAACAACAACAAAATAATACAATGATACATTTCTTGATCTACTAAGGAAGCGGAATGCCTGAGTAAAAGCGTGAAATAAAGAAAACAAGTAAAATACCTTAACATCCAAGTAGTGCACAAATACTATATGCATCATATCCCTGCAACAAAACAAAATCATTTTCTAATTAATTGTAATAATAAATATAAATAATTTCAGTAGAATATTGGAACTTAAAAATTTGCAGAGAAACCCTAAAAGAATCCAGTAGAGTAACATATGCATATTATAAATACTATTAACAGACTCCAAATGCAAATATAAGTACACTAATGCTAGTAAGTAATAATGCGGTACTTAGGAAGGAATTCAGACAGCAACTTCCATGAAAAATATAGTACTTCAAGTTTAAAGACAGCAGCAACTTAATAAAATGTAAACTAACACACTCACTGTTCAAGCATCCAATAGCTTCGCCTCTGAAAATTTTCATTTTCTTCTCCATGGGCATAGTAGCAGTGTAACACATCAACACTTCCCACCTAATTTTGCACAAAGAAGGTAACAATCTAAGCATGTATTTTCTTAGTGTATAAAGACTAGTTTTCAATTAGAGAAAAATAAGCTAAAATATATGTATTATCTTATATATATGCTTCCCTTTCAAAGATTTTATTAACCACAAACTGAAAAATAAAAAATTCATGCTTGCCTTCAACTTTTCATGAGCTTCCTTCACAGTCTTTCCATCTTTTTTCTTTCTCCAATTATGTCCATCTTTTCTGAAGTACCTTAAAACCTTCCGATCAAAGAGAAAAAGCGAGCCACCTGGAATCATCAAATAACTGACATGAAGCAATTTTTTTTGGGTACATAAAGCCATAATAAGACCTAAAAGATTAAATCAACTTAGAAATGCAATCAGGTTTTAGCATAAACAACAAAACTATAAATAGCATCCTAAAAACTACAGACATGATTATGCGGGAATAAAATATCAGGTGCACTTAGATGTTAAAGTAAATATCTTTTGGGATCTAAAAGGTTGCCATGTACAAGGTTGTAAAACATCTTAAGAAAGACAATTTGGGATGTTTAATAAGCAAGGCTTTTGCTGCAAAAGAAGAGGGATAAGCCCAGCCTCCATAATTGTCATTGATAAGGTTACCAAACAACCTCGGGAATACCGAGTTGCAACAAACCATTCATGATGGATATGTAATTTTAAGCATTTAAACAATTCAATCCACCCATATGCACGAGACTGACATAGGAGGCAGTAATAAATTGATCAGTAACATATGCAGAAACCATACTTGGTGGCCTGGTAGGTGGTTCTGAAGTGATTTGAAACATCCGATAATTGCAAAGAATTTCACATATTTCCGCAGGGCGCAACCACCTATTCTGGGCTTCGAGTTGTAATTGCTGAAGATCTGCAGGATAATAAATAATAGAACATGGCATTCACTTAAACATTTGATTGCTATGTTATCACATTCACAATTTAGCAAACTTTAAGAATCAAACAACAGCCACACTAATCATATCAACAATATTAATAAATATAATTCTTAAAACCCCACATGCATAAGAAATTTGATTTATTAGCATGTAACTATGACTATTTGCTTTAAGAGATGCCACATATTACTGCCGCTGCTGCCACCTGCTAAATTTGATAATTTCTGTATTAACCTATTCAATTCCAATAATTCAATGGCAAAGAGAGGATCTAGCAACCAAAGCATCAGCATGCTAAAACAACTACCAAAATATTTTGCTATTAAGAAATTCACAGCTGCAAAGCAAAATCTTGGGATGAGAACTGTTAAGAAGAAAGTGGCCAGTAGTTTGAGCTTGAAGCTTTTACAAGTTGGTCATACTGAAAAGCAGCTGAGAAATTTAACAATGTAAGAATCAAAACATGTTAGTGCTTCTGTGGCAAGAGACTTCAGGATAGGGACAGTACCCAAGATGTAAGAACAGTATGATTTCATATCTCAAGTTTCATTTCAATGCTTCAGCTTGGTAGTCCAAAGCATGCAATTGATTTTACTCAAGCTACTATAGTACAGGAGTTGTAAGCACTATCATAGCTAATTAGGGAAGCAAGATCATTAGACTGACAAACGGATCCTTTGGCAATCGAGAGGTACCAACTAACACAATGTAGTTATTTTGTTTTAAAAGGGGCACTGGACAAGATTTTAGAGAAACATATTTTTAATACAGAAGAGGCACTGTTGGTTATGCTGATACCTTGGATGCAAAGGCTTTGCTTGAACATCTCAACTACAGATACTGCTGGCTCTTCCAAGACAGAAGAGGATGTTGCTCTCAGTAAATTGAAAGCAAACAGACTAGACAAAATGGGTAAAAAGCAATTCAGTAGCTTAGTCTTCTCTAAAATAGTCGAAGGGAAATTATTATGTGAAGTCAACTTGTCTCTTCCTAGACATACCTCTACTTACAGTGAAAATCCAGCAAGGACATGGCCTAGGAGAATTTCTTTGAACCACATAAACTTGTTACCCAAGAGAAAGCAGAAAAATATATAGTTTTCTTTTAACCTCTGAAATACAGATGCAAACTGCTACAATAGAACCCATTTAGCAGCGGACATAAGCTTTTCTGCAAATTAAAAGAGAGAACCATATTTTCTTACAGCAACAGCAGCATTATAATTTTTCAATAGAGTAGCATGCATTCCATCTATTTAATGAAGAACCAATACCAATCCATGGTCCAAGCCATTCACACCTAACAGACAAAGTGACGGTCACGTGAATTGCACAAAAACGCTTCTTCACTTTTTTCACCCATAATCCCTAATTGAACCAACGAGTACATTTTCAAATAAAATATATAAAGATTTTCACGCACAAAAAAGCAGAGAGTTGAAACCCCTAACAATTAACTCCTTTCCAGAATCCCACAGCAGACAATCGAAATTTGAGGAAGCTAGGCTACTCGAAATCATTCCGACACAAATCAAACAACATGATCAGGCATTCATTCTACAAGTATAAATTGAACACTAATTTAATCGAAACATAAGTAATATAAAATCAATAAGTGAATCAATTAAAATAAATCATGACCTAATCGAGGTCCCAATCCGTAAGAACCACGCTCCGCCATGGCGAAGACCCAAGAATCTGAGAGAGATCGACGCGGAAACGTTGAAGCCGTGTATCAGTATCTCTATCAATCAAACACACTTTTTAGCTTTCGTTCGTTCGTTCTTTCTGCGCTTTTCGCTCTTTCCAGTCAGCTTCTTCTCACACACAGTAACGTGACGAAGTGAATAACCAGAACAGGCGGGACATGGGGACAGCTACAACCTTTATTTTTATTTCTTTTTCTTTTTCTTCTTCCGTTTTTCATTAACTTTGTATTTTTGTAATTTTTTATATTAAGATATATTTCTCTTCTTCAGTTTTTTTTTATATTTTTATAATATGTATATTATATATAATATATAATAAATTACAGTAGAAGGGCGTGTCTGAAAACAAAGTACCATCAGGAAACTGACGTTGACTTCAATGATAGAAGTAAGTTACTTTTTGTTCATTATTTTTTTTCTATTATGTAATGTTTCAAACACTTATTTATGTATATTTGTCCATAGAAATTTAATACACTTAAAAAAATAATACAATAATTTTATACATCAGGTAACTAATTTTAGTTAAATTTCTTGACGTGTGTATTTTTATTTAATGTGAAATTTTGACGAAGTTATTTATTTGATTGTAATATGATTTTTATATTTGATACGTGTTAAAAATATTTATGTGAACTATATGTTATAATATAATTAGAAGGATGCGTTTGAGAGAGAAAAATACTTTTGCTGTGATTAATGTTGGCTTCAACGAAACAAGAAAGTTCATTTTGTGTTTGCTGTTTTGAAGATGTTGACAAAGTTATCAGTTTGAGTCGTGATTTAACTTAATATTTGATGCAAGATTTGATAAAAAAAATTATTTTAATGAGATAAAAAGATATTTCAAACATTAAATAAAATATTTGTTAATAAAAGTTAAACTATAAATATCAAATCTTTAACATACTTATTTAATTGATATGTTAAATTTGGCCTTAATTTGACATATTTGACATGTGACAGTCATATTTTACAATTGGTAGCTGATATTTTGGCTAAATTCGGCCTTAGTTTGAGATTCAATGGTCAAATTTCGTCTAGTTTATTTGTCTTTTTCTTTAAACCCTTGTGTGTGTGACGTATCTTGAACATGTGTTATAACGAAATAGTTCTTAATATATTTTTGGTTTTGGTATTTATGTCTCCTTTTCAAAAACAAAAACCATCCATTGCGCAAAATAATTCGTACTGGATAATTTAAATTATGATAAGGAAATTTTGAATTATTAAAAATTTATTAAGAAAAATATCAACTTAATTGAATAACAAAGATTAAAAGAACAATTGTGAAGATTATTAACAAAAGAGATGAAATAAGTGGTTTAAGATTATTAACAATTGTGAAGAGGAGTGGAAGTAATACATTAGTAAACAATTTTACGATATCGTATTTCCTTTTCCTTTTCAATTTTAAGCAAAATTAGTTAATTTTATACCATTTGTGAAAGTAAATTAATATTATTTAATTTTACTAATCTCGATTATAAACTCTTCATGAACAATGTTCTAAGTGATGAGTGTTTGATAAAACATAAAAGAAAAAACTTGAGAGGAAATATTTTATTGAAAATAAAAAATTGACTTGATTTACATAAATGAAATATGATTGAATATAAAGAAAAAATCCAAATAACCGAAAATTATAACATAAAAATAACACATAAAAGTTAACAAAAAATTAAAAAATATATCAAACATTAATAAATAATATATCATTAAAAAGAGTAGAAATTCTAACCGTAATTAAATCTATTTTACATGACCAAAATAAATTGTATATGTGGGTATAGAATAATGTGCTTTGGATAATCAAATTTTTTTAAAAGTTATAAAAGGGTTTAATTATTAAATAAGAAATAAAACTTACTGAAATCTATAATCTATAAAAGTAATTAATAAGTAAACATTACCGAAAATTATTTTAGAGTATAGTTTTAATATATATATATATATATATATATATATATATATANTATAAAAGTAATTAATAAGTAAACATTACCGAAAATTATTTTAGAGTATAGTTTTAATATATATATATATATATATATATATATATATATAGGTTTCTGATATACTTAGTACGGTCTAAAAGAGACACGGAAGAGAAAGGGTTAAAATTAACTCCTTTAATTATTATTCATGGGTAATAATGTATAACGACTTTGATTAGGTATACATAATTTTTTTAACTTTAAAATATAACTGTTTTTTTCCGTATATAAATCATCCAACCGTTTCATTTAACGTTTTAGTTTTCAACATCTCTTGTAGAACAAACATAATAAAATATCATATTTTTCGTAGTTTTTTAATTACAAAATTTAATAATAACTTTTATTACGTTTAAAATTTAAAAAGATGCGAACACACTGTCATTTTGCTAATAAACAATATAAAAATTTAAGATTATTTTTTTAGACTCTAAACTATCAAGTGAATTTGTTTTTAGTCCCTCTTTCAAATAAGATACATTTTAGTCCTCCTTCTTCAGGAAAACTTAATTTTTGGTTCTCCAAAACTAACACCGTTAAAAATCAGCTGATGTGGCTAACGGTGGTGTGACACGTCGTTTTTTTTTTTACACCAGTTAATCTTTCTCAACTCTTCTCCCTCCCTCTCCCTCCGACTCTGCCATAGCCACCTCCGGCGCCACCTCGAACATCTTCGGCGCCACCATCAACCGTGAAACCTCCATGTGCAACCACCCTCCACCACGCTCACCTCCATAGCCAACGTAAAACCTCCATCTCCACTGTCCAGAAAACCCTCAAATCGCATATCAATTCATCTCCTCCCACCACCATAGAGACCCAAATCAGAAAACTAAAACCACCCAAACCTTCATCAGCGCAACGCCCCCCACCCACCCACCGCCTCATCAGCCCAACATCGCTTCCACTCGCTGCCCTTTCTTGCGCCGCTTCCTCAAATTCCTCGCCATGTCCCTCACCGCAACACCTTCCAAAAATACCATCACAGCCACTGCCCTCAACACCCTACCCCCGAGCCCCCACAACTTTGCATCTCCCCAATCCCTCTCTGATTGGCTCAAACCCCGCCTCCCCTTCGAGTCCTTCGCTTCGTTGGGCATCAAGCCCGGCACCGAAAACGTGCACAACCTTTGGCTCAAACTCTCTCAGGGAGAAACCTCACTCGCCGATTCCAGTTCTCTGATTCGGACAGTCCACGTCATCCTCGTCTGTGTCACCGCCAAACACGGCAAGGTCCTCGTCGAGTCGCACCAGGAGTTGTCCGATGGCAACATCAAGAAGCACGGCAGGCCCTTGTCGGAGAAGATGAAGCCCAACGAGGACCCCGAGTCCGCCGCCGTTAGAGGCATTTTCGAAGAGCTTGGCTCTGCGATTGTTGGTGCAAGACCCAATCCCGAAATCGCTGACATTGTCACCATTGATCCCAATTCGTACGAGATGCGGGTCGAAGAGCGCGATTCGGGTTCGTACCTGGTTTTCCCGGTTGGGTGTTTTGTTGTTTCCTTCTAGAATGCCAATCACTTCATTTTGTTCAAATGAATTCAGAAATAGGAGTGGTAATCAGATAATGGGTTGAATGAGTTGTTGTTAAGCTGTAGCTAATGAATTCAGCTTGTGTTGGTATTTGTGATGCGAAAGGGAGGGGAGGGTCGTCGGTGGTTGAGGAGGTGGAGGGAACATCCTTGGTGGGGGAATGAGGTTGGGTTGGTGGAACGAGAGAAAATCTGAGGAAGATTGGTGTTAGAAAAAAAAAAACGACGTGTCACACCACCATTAACCACATGAGCTGGTTTTTAACGGTGTTAGTTTTGGAGGATCAAAAATTAAGTTTTCCTTAAGGAGGAGGATTAAAATGTACCTTATTTCGAAGAAGGAACTAAAAACAAATTCGCTTGATAATTTAGGGCCTAAAAACATATTTAACTCTATTTTATTTGATAATACATTTTCCAAAGTATTTTAAATTTTTAATAAAAATTTGATATTGTCTGGACGTACTAATTTAAAAAATATTAGAAGATCAAAGAAATGTAATGCAGCAAGATTTATTTTTTCTTGCACTGAATTAAGTGGATTTTGATTTATTCCATTAAAAATTGAAATATTAATGTTGTTGAAGCCATTCATTCCTAGACACGTGGGGTGGTAGGTGATTGCGGGAACAGTCTGGTTCAATAAAACTTCGATGGAGTGCACGCACGTGCATGTCTTCGTTCTTGTTTTTCAAAACAAAAAATACTACAAAAATTAAAAGGGCACATCATATCCTCCCAGTCTCCATACCTCACGCACATATTCCCTAGTCTAAACAGTTTTCTACCGCGTTCCCACGGACATTTACAATAGATGGTTCATGCTCTTCTCCGACCTATGAGATGAATGATATGAACAGAATGATATTATTTTAATTTAAAATTAAAAAATAATTTATTTATAATTTTTTTTTATAAAGGTTTAATTTTTACAAATATAATTTAGATTTAGATTAATTTTTTAACAATTGAATAATTTTACTTTACATAAATACCATTGAAATAAGTAAAGAATAATAGTGATTTTAAAAGATAATACTCAATCATTTTATTATTTAAAATAAATAAAACTTTTTATTAATAGAGTTTTTTATAGAAATCATTTTTAAAAAAATCTAAAAAGTTTTCTTTATTTTTTTAGACTTTTTTTACCTCATATTTCCTCTCTTTAAATATCAAAGATTACAAGAGAAATTCTTACAGAGACACACTCAACTGATCAAAATTCAAAATAAAATAAGTTTATTTTTTGCGTCTTTTTTAATTAGTGGTTGTTTTGAGATATAAATGACTCTCTGGATATATATTTGTTTGTAATTATGAGGATGCAGTCTGACCTTTGATAGGAGTTTTTTTTGTGTACATGTGAAAACTAGAGGTGTAGGAGTTTAGGATATTCATGAGACAATCTTTGAATCTAAGTATGAGCATTATGAGTTTATGGTAATGTCTTTTGGTATGATAATATCTTACCATATTAATGGATATCAAAATGATCTTGTGTCCCCTTTTAGATAAGTTTGTGGTTGTCTTCAAAGATTTTGGTTGCCCTTAATGGAGACAATTGGAAGTAGTTTGAGAATGAGTTTAGTTCACCATTCTCAAACTAATGGTTAGTTAAAGAAAACCATCCAAACTT